CAATTACAAAGTTTGGTACCGTTGACACGGCACAGACCTTGAATGTGCATGTAATTAGAATTCCCATAGTTCTGCCCGACAAATAGGATCTGACGTGTTGGCAACTCTATTTTGCGTCGGCTCATTTGACAGTAGGTTCATTATTATGTTGAAATACTTAGTGACATTCAAACGAAAAAACATATCTACGGTTATTGTTCTCGTTACTCAAAGAACACTGTTCAGTGTATCCAATCGACCGGAAAAATGGACCGATGCTCTCGATATCTGCTTTATCAGTGCAGGCTTTAAGGTTTTGTCCTGTTAACTTTTAACTTGTAATTTTATTATATATAATTAGATTATATGCCTGCTTCCACCCATACAGTTGCAGGTAGTAATTCCACCTGAAACCATTATCTACGTTGGACCACCAAAGATATTTAATGGTTCAACGACTTTTTCTTCTATTTTTACTCAAGACACATTCGCGCACATATGAACACTTGATAGAGTATCTCAAAATCATTAGTAGGATTATATTCTTCAGTTTACCCTTTACCCCACAAAACGTATCAGGTATTTATTGCCAGGATATTTAGGAATGTATGTTTTGGCTTGGCACAATCAGCTGGAAACTATCCACACTTTGCAGACTGATCATCAGAGTTTTCGTCCCGTTCTCAGCCCATCGGTTCGGCTCGTTCCCCAGGCACTGGGAAAATCAATTCTGGGCATAGAGGGCGACTACCGTGGTCGTCCACAGTTGGGCTACTGTGAACTTCTGGAACTCTAAGGCATAGTGACACTATGTTTGACTGGTCCCTCATACCTCTTATACTAAATAAAAGGAAGCTTTGTTCTGTCTCTTCACAAGAAAATGTCAGGTACTTTTGCAGAATAACAAACTATTATTTGGTGCGAGGGACTTTATTGGGCCTAATTTCTAGCTCTTTCAGCATGGATGTGAGCTGTAAGCAACCCTCCGAATAACCAACAAATTAGCATCCTTTGTAGCTCGTCGTTTTGCTGCCAAAAATTTGGAATAGAACGTTCCAAAATTGTTGCATTTAAGTAATACATCTGTGTGATAGATTGGCCTATCCGTAAAATACTAAAACACTCGGTACATGATAACTCACTGATAAAGTCAGAGTGTTCTGTCAGGTGTGACTCGTACTGTTATGAGGGTGTGAACATGAAACTACGCTGCTCTTATTCACCTGCTAATTTGGTTTTGCAACTTCATGTGTGCTGTGTGACGTCTAGAAAATGGAACTGTCCGGTTTTGGTAATTGTATCGTCATATATTGTACAGTTTTATTCCATTTTTAAAGTGAACCATGTGAAAGGTGGGACGGAAATTATATGTTACACTTATTGTCATACGAATGGAGGGGGAGCTCTTGTTTACTGCGAATGTAGGAAATAAAGGGAGACGCCGGAAACTGTTCAGTGTAAAGGATTCGGCAGTTTAAGGAGCTGTGCCGAAGAGGTTTTGCTAATATTCTGGAACTGAAGTGAAATTCAATCAGTTTCGTTAGCGGAACGAAGATAAACAACGCTTTTTTAAATTCATTATCATCGCAGCACGTAAACCTTCAATACGAACTGCCCACATTGAAAAAGACTGGTGTTTAGGCCAAGATCACAGCCACCCAACACGACATTTTTCACGCAGTTGACTAGAACGTGTTTGACAGATTTGCTTGACAGCGTGTTTATACGGCTTCTAACGCGCTTAAACAGCCTGGCGTAAACATGTTTTATTTTCAGTCCCCATAGTTTTGCTGTAATTTGCTGACACATGTTGCCTCGATATGTCAAACCGCATGACAAAAGGATGCTTGGCTAGGTTCCACTGTCAAGAACTTTACCTTTGGAGATTACTGAGAAGGGGTATTCAGGTAAGCCAGTTATTTTTGGTGAAGACAATGGTCATGACGATGGCGAACATGAGGATTTTGATTATGATAATGAATGCAATAAGTATGGTGGTGACAACGCTGAGGATGAATGCAGTAGGATGCTGATGCCACTGTTGATAATGATGGAATCTTTGGTACGTGTAAGAAAGAAGAGAATAGACACCATGGTGATGAGGACGAAAATGGGTAAAGTGGCGATGATAATGCTGAGCGATGTAGTTCCTGGTGTTTCCACTTTAAACTTGTCTATATTTTGTGGCGCAATCTTCGAAGGTGCTGCTGCTCCATGGAGAGCTTCAGACTGATTGGAATCGCATGATACGGACGAAAGCTGAGATGCGAAACATCCAGCTATGGGGTAATTAAGCCCTTTGCGTCTTCAAAACAATAGGCCTTAATACTACAATTATTACTTTCCCTGTTGATTACAATGGACCTACACTATCTATTTAGGCTCATTTAATGTTCCTGCCTCGTCAAAAGAGATTCCACCTCTACCGCTTATTATACCATATGAATCAGTGTCAGCTTGCTCAGTTATTCCCACCCACCTTAAGTGTTCAAAATGGCTCGGTTATTTTGATTTTACATGTCACTCGTCCAGTTTGGTAGCGGTGTTCTTGTTCGCAAAGTAATCTCACAACGGCCACCTGGACATATATGCGCGCAAACATACAAACTTCAGTGTGAGCGGGAAAAGTATCACAGCCTGTGTTAGTTAAGGTCCTATTCACACAGTGTACCGGATAATGTATTGGTCAGTCATGGCAGTCTCCCTACCTTTTTACGCAGCAGTCAACTTGGGGAAGCGCCGAATTGTTGCAGCATTGTGACAAGCTAGGAATTGCATTATGCGCGCCCATGCGTGACTCATTCAACCTACTCCGTGTCGTCCAACGTGACATTTTTCGCTCCCATACGTCGCATAACATAACGGCGGCACGCTCGTGTCAACATTTACACACAGCCTGGTTCGCTATCACAGAGTGGGTATTGTTTACCTGGCCTGGATTACAAATCGGTATACCTCGCCTAACTAGAAGTTTCAGTCCATGCAGGCTATATATTTCTCACAATTTATGCGATGGAAGTTGCAGAACATACTGTAGGTGTTCGTTATCAAAACTCCGTGTTTCTAGACCTCCGTGTAAGTTTTTCGTTGTGAGTTAATATTGATAGGTGATTGAATACAAAATAAAGAGCCACGAGCAAAATTCTTCCCGCCACACTCACAGATAGTAATTACAGCTTCGGAACTGTACCATTTCATAAATTGTGGCGAAAGAGTTTTATTTCCCTTCCCAAAATTCCGTGGGCTTGTAGAGGTGCGATTCACTTGCTTTCAAAGACAAAAATCACACACCATCTGAAAGGGAACAGACAAGTTACACCATGTTCGTCCAGTTGATCTTTAGAGACCCCGAGAATTTAGGTTGACCCTTCCACTTATGCAGCGAGTGACTGATTGAACAATTGTTTGCTTTCTGTGCAACATATTAATTGAAATATAACAATTGACAGGGGAGGATATAACGTTTTTAACTTACCCTTTATTTACTTTTAAGTTTTATCTCAATCTGTATACTGGTTTGAACTGCTGATTTATTGCGAAACAGTGGGCTGCCTGTAAACGGCGGTGCTCTTCTGTGAAAAACTAATGACCCTAATGTCGCAAAGGATTTTCAGATGAAGTGACGATCATGTGATAATTAGGTGCCGTTCACCTCAAAACACGATGATACTTCGAAACTACGTTATTCTCACTACACTCTCGTCACTTGAGGTGGAAAGTGCTGTAGGCTTTTATGCATGAAAACGCAAACGTTTATTAATATACTGTAAGTGGGCCTCAGGATGTAAATTTTGAATAATGAAACGCCACTTGTAACTGTCAGCTGATTATACTTACACTAGATTCCTGCCGTGTATACATGAAAAAAAACAAGTACATAAAAGAGTTTGAATCTGGAGTGTGCTGTCGTCGGGCTACCCATGAGTTTTTCGACAGCTTGATGTACCTTTTTGTAAAACCTGTGTTCTCTATACTTTTGGCCCAACCCACCTCGTAGTCTCGCGTACCAGTTGATCAGAGCATAGCTTGAGTGACGGAGAAATCTGTTTACTAGTGGCACATCATTTTTTCAGCGTTTTTAATGGGGTTTTTACTTACCAGTACCTGAATGCATTGAAGTAACTAACCATTTTGGAACCCTTCTACTACTTGAGGCATTGTCACATGATTGCGCGTACCAGAAGTTAAACATACCTATGTTTATTATTGTCTGTCCAAACAACCTCTAGCCGAAGCTTTTTAGTGTGTTTCCTACTAATCATCACGCGCTCTGATACAACTGGAGGTTCTCTGCGACGTCTTCAACAATGAGCTGGGTGTTTTTTGGTCCAACTCTCATGCCATGCCGTACGGGGTAATTCTCACTCGTTTTAGCGGCATTATTGGGCACACAAATTAGTGATTTTTTTAAATTAGCGTGTGATCAATTATCTGTCCGAGTATTCGGCGGAGAAAGCTTCCTAATGTGATGACTGTATGAAGGTTCTTTTGAGGGTAGATCAAAAGGCCTCCTCATTTTTGAGAAAGCAGACTAGACCTTTTATTGCAAATTTATACGAATAATTCTCCAAAGGCCAATAAGTAATATAATTAAGGCTGTGGGGCATCTTAAATACAAATGTAGCAGAATGCTCTTGTATTCTGCATCAACTTTAAATTCGTAAATCCTATAGCACGCATAAGAGGGTCTTGTTACATCGTTTAGCAGATCCATTTATAAACGCTTACATCTTTCGATAAAGGCCGGATTGATTGAGTTATTTATTTTGAGAATCTGTCGACAAAATGGGAGTTTAGGCGGTTGTCCCGTAGAAAACCGTTGTGCTTCCTCCGTCAGCTGGTTTGACTGGTCCTGTCATTTTATACTGTAACAGAACGAGAAATATCAATTTTCTGTACTTGACGCAAGTATCCGGAGCAATAGTGTTTTCGTTTTCCCCGCGTTAATAACGTGAATAAATTTCTCATCCAATCATTGTACTAAATCTCATTTACCAAGGTTTCCATCCGTATTTCCCGGGATGCTTGGATCTTCGGCAAACGTACCCCTGAGCGGATTTGCGCATCCACCACCGGTTCCAACAAATCCACAATCGTTTGCCAGTTATTCCGTCACAGAACCAAATGGCCATCTAGCGGCTGCATCACCCGATCCATTTAATGCTTGTCAATTAAATCCGCTAAACCATTCGACATTCGGTGGTGGTTCAAGTGTTGGATTACCGTGCGCAGATATGTCTGGCCTAGCAAACCCAAACCAAATGCAAGTGGGGATGAATGGATTGAGCTTTCCTGGACCATTCCATACTCCTGTACAGGGACTGGCAGGCTATTCAAGAACAACCGTCCCAGGAAATTATGCGCACACAACAGATTGGTGTCTGTTTCTGTGCAATCTACCACCAGATATTGAGGAGGCAACTTTGTGGAGACTCTTTGGTCCGTTTGGGGCAGTCCGTTCGGTGAAAGTCATCCGCGAACCGGGCACCAACAGATGCCGTGGAACCGGTTTTGTCAATATGACAAATTACGCAGAAGCTTTGTTGGCAATACAAAATCTGAATGGGTTTGTTCAGTCATACTATTTGTAAATTATATATATATATATATGCACGTGAATATTTTATAATGTCCTTGAACCGTCACACAGCCATCATTTCTCTGCTCAGTAGCATTCAGCTTTCAACTGACACGTGAAACATGTTTTGTGCTTTAACAATATTAGTTAAGATTCCGGCTGTAGGATAAGAAGGTTTCCTCAATCATAGTTCAGGAAGCGATAATTTGCGATACAATCAACAGAACGCTCCCCGACGTGAGAACAAGCTAGCAAAATGAGCAGGTTGATTCTATTGCTTTGCCAGCAGGTAAAGTACAAATAAGTTTACCTTGTACGCACGTAGATATTAATAGGTTTTATTTTAATCAGGTGATAAAAAACCGCCTTACGCGTTTAAATGGAAGAGCAGGTTTCCGGTGAGCTAATTTTTTTCGGAAGCACTCAATAACTGCAATAAAAACAAACCTATAGAAAAATAACTACAGTATCTAGTTGATGCGTCGGTATAAAAAGTACAGTTGTCCCCTGCCAGGCCCACCGAAAATCAACCACAAGAATGTAAGATTATTGAAGAATAAACCTCTACTACAGCAGGGCTCCTAGTAAGGCAAGAAAGCTCTCAGTGGTGGAGTATATACCGAAGAAATTGACATGTAAGCTGAATACCTGGTAGAACAGTCCACCTTAGTGAAGTTATTCTCTAGTTAGACCACTGGCACGTTCCGCTCACGGTTGGCCTACTGCATTATTTTGTTCACTACGGATTGCATAAGACGGTCTACCCGGTGCCTTTTTTTTACGAAACATGAGTGCAGTTACCGTTTGGATGCCAAAAATAACCGGATTAATTTATCTTTGGAAAAAGTAAGCCCAATTTACCAGTTGCCCTTAGATAAATTTTGCAGGATGTGCTACCAACCATTGCTTTATATGTTTGCATTATGATTTGGAACGATTATTTGGAAACCCGTTCACCCTCGTCTCACGAAAGCAGACCCTGTCAACATGGTATAAAGCATTTAATCATACACTTTATTCTGTACTGTCATATTTTGGCCGTTCGAGTTAGCAGTAAGGCAGGCAAAAACTAATGATGGAAGTTTCGTCATTACGTCCTTGAGACGCAAGAATTACGATCACATGTTTTTTGAAGGACGTGATTTTGCCAGTTGAGCCCTCTCCATGAGCCTAATGGGACACTGTTTTCGAAGCCGTTTGGAATTTATTTTGCGCGCGCTTCCTTGTGTGTGACAGTGTGACCATTCTCACTCATCCGGTCAGGTCATCTCGGATTGACCATAAAGTCTGCATGGAAAAATCATCTTGCTGATAACCCGTCTACCATATACAACCAAAAGCTACGCGTTACGCTTCAACAGCGATATCACGGTTTGATGGAGGCATTAGGTTAATGAAAACATTTAATAAAACTGGGTCAGCGATGGTCTCAATTAACATTGATACGAATTACCGAAAATAAATTAGTGAAAGTAGGCTTAATGTTAAAGCGTTTAGTTGCATTCAATGGCATGTGGTTCAGCATTAAAATTTAGTTGACTAAGCAGATACGTTTATGACTACCTTTAACGTGCAACAACCAAAAGCATGTTTAAACGTGGAGGAAAGGAAATGAGAAAATGCAAAAAATGTCATTTCAGTACTGCGGACTTATTAATAGACTGAATGGAAAGGTGACATATGTTCATGACCCACATTTCGGTTGATTGACCTTGTGAAAGAATTACGTGTCAAAGTTTCTGGAACAGCCAAAGGTGAAAGATACATAGGCTTTTCCGTGGATAAAAAACCTTGCCATCAGTCATCCCATTCAATATGTTATTTTACAGGAAACTGCTTGATAGAACAAGCCCTTCGTTTGAATTTAGAACACAGCAGTTTGACTGAAAAGCTACCTTAGTTTAGACATTTGTATCTATTTATACCTGAGCACCAGTGGGGATGATAAGGGACACCACCAGTGATGTCATTCCGTAGAATGAGCAATAAATTCTGATCACAGGGTGTATGACTGAGAGTTAGGCTGGTAATTACACTGTTCATACCAAAATCTAGGATAAAATGAAATGTCACCGCTCTTAAAAGCGGCAGTTGTATCAAATATCTAACCCTCCACTTCATTGGTATTATTCGCGACTAAAATATTTGTCTAAACTCTGCTTAGCATGGTTGCTGACTGAGTGTTCAATCACCACACAGCTCTGAGAAGCAAACGTAAACGATTTGTCTACGGGAGCCGAGTTGCCCGAGGACATAGCCCACTGTTGTACGGCCTTCTCCTTCCTACTATCACTTCATGCCTTATTGGGGCATGAACCTGCACTGTTGGGCTGTTGTCGATTTTCAAGGGTAATACTGGTCATGAATGTGCGTGAGCTGCGCAATTTGAACAATCCAGCAAAAAAAACAACGACTCTCTAAGTTACCTGACCTAACATCATTTTCTTCTATAGAAGGGTTTGAAAATGAATGACTTTGTCCCAATGTGTACAGGATTAGCCAACTAGTAGATGCTTCAACAGCCCATGGCGCGTAATTACTACTGCAGTAGATATTATCCCACTCGAACTCCTACTAACACTCCCCATAATCCGACTTATCAGGCTGATCCTGTTTTAAACTTCTTAATGAGGCAGAAGATAATCACACCGGCTTGCATGTTTTTTTTATGAAGAATTGGCCTTCAGGGTCCTTGGTGCGTCAGCCTTTGGTGTGTGTCTGCGATTTACTAACCCGGTACCATCAGTGAGCATCAAAAACGGGTAATGCCAAAGTAATGCGCGGACATGAGGTCCCTATACTGGATGCCTTTGCGATTCCGAATCGATCAACACGTTTTCGAATCAACATCCGTTTTATAACATTTAATAATGTGAGTAAATTTTGCATAAAATAAGCTCACGACACTTTTAAATTAGCATAACCGTTCTTACTTTTGAAGGCGGATTGCTCCAGCTTTAAGTTGAGAATATTTGAAGGAAAAGTTATCAACAGCGAACAAGTTTACCTCTACCGTTTCAACTACATTTGCAGAAACACGTCGTTTAATCATACTGCACTTCAAAAAGAAGTATTTGAGAGGAAATGACAATCCCGTAGTTTTCTATATGTTAAGCGCCAAAAATGACATTAGAATCCAGCAAAGCCATTTTCTATTCAAGCCAGTATGTTTTACATACATCCATTTGTTTAACTCTCCTCATACATTCAGCAAATGATGTCCCTGCTAAGTGCATATGATTAATTCGTTCCAGTTGGTTTGGGCTTTTTATGAAAAGTGCCCGTTACATTTAAAAGGTGTAAAATTTGAGATTTTTCCACTTATTTGTTTGTGTGCGTATTCAACAACTTTCCAATTTGATTGAGAAGTTTTTCTTTGACTGTAGTGGCTTGATATTGTTTGTCACCTTCCTTTTTGGCACAGATATCCCTTGGGAAACCGCCACTTGCAGGTAACAATGAAGCTTCCAGTATGTGCAGAAATGCTCGGCCTACATTCGCTCTACTGAAATGAACTTCCTGTGCATTGATACTGGTGTTGTCGAAACAACATCTGGCATTTCGATTTTGCCAATGCGTCGCCAAGCAGCGTACATTCCGCGGAAACCTGTTGTAATCTCACACGCTAGCGACGCAGTCAACATAAACACTGCATTAACAATGTCCAAGGGAATTTGAGTAATCACTGATGGTTTGCAACTAGCCATAATACAATTTGCGATGCTTTTTACATACACACCGCTTCATGAAAAATGTTAAATCCTTAGGCATTTTCGCTTTTTTCACAACAATCCCAAAAGCAACGTGATAAGACATCGTCCCGAGTTATTTTCTCTTCATTGACTTTTCTGCCAATTTCCGGAAAAAACATGCAAATGAGAGCGAAATACGTCACGGTAGCCAGAATGCCAAACTATCGGTTTACTTTTATATGCGATGCCAAATCCTCCCTTCCTACTCTTACAACTTGTCTTTCCGTATCGCAGTTATATCTTACAAAACCAGACGTTTTTCCAACGACAGACTGCCATGTCCTACATCAGGCAGGTTGTGACGGCCTCTTTGAAGAATATGCCTATATACAGCGAGATACCAGCGTGGTTCCCTAAAGGCACCAAACTTCCAGGACAGAATTGGTTCTGGTGCTTATGAGAACCAGTCAGATCTTTCTGATATAACCCGTTGAAAATTAATGTCCAGTGGTTAAAAATCACATAGAGACATTTTGATGCTTGTTCTGACGGGTAAGATATTTCCGTTTCTCCAGTACCGGTTTCCCACGATGAGCAAATTTTTTGTCTTTTTGTCGACTTTTGATACATCCATATTTGGTCTATTTCTTCTATCCCTTTAAAACGTTTTCAAAATGTGTTTCCATACTTGCGGCCGAACGGAAACTAAAGTGGACAAACTACTTAAGCAACGGAACGAGCAGGATATTTCCCACTACCAGCGATGCTATAGACGGAAGTATCCAAGTTCATCTGGATGCAATGAAGAGGTGGAGCAACTGGCACTCACACTGTATGCATTTACCCTCTTGATTTGATTGTTATTCCCCCTTGCCGATGCATTTTGTCTTCTTCTTTTTCTCCTCATTTAGTATTAACTATGTTGATCCAGTTTTTGTTGTAAATGTGCTGAGATGCGTCCAATTTTGCTTTTGTAACCACTTCATTGTTTCTGTTGATGCAGTCTATAGGACCACGAGTGTTCCAGTTTTGTGCATTCGGCTTGGTTTACCTAGTTTCACTTAAATCGTTGCTTTTAATTTCCCATTTGGTTCCGGTTGCTACTTCCTTTTTAAGACTAGAAGCATTGTGTTTGCTTTTTTGTTGTTGACTAAAACCGTTATAAAAATGAAGGCCACTCTAACTTTCACCACTCACGTTTGTAATTCACTTGTTCATTATTTCCAAAAACATTTCGTTTAATCGTCGTGCGTATGCTTTTAAATTAACGCAATTAAAAGTACAATTTTGATTTGATCTTCACGAATCTCCTTATTTGTTC